GGATATTGGCGGCATGTAGAGGTTGGCCGTGCTGCTGGCAGGAGGCGAAATGGAAAGCAGACTGGGGGTGTGGCGGTGGAGGTGGGCTGAGGAGGTGGGCTGGGGTGTACGGGATGGGTGGTAGGTGACTGGATGGGCTGAGGGAGTGGGTTGGATTGAGCAGAGACGGGTTGGATGTAGGCCTGAGTGGTGACGGGCTGGGAGATGGTGTTGGAGGTGACGGGCGTGAAGTTGGATTGAAGGTTGAAATTGGGATGGTTGGGCTGAGAGGTGATTGAAATATGGGAGGATGAGGGTTCAGAAGGGTTAATAGGGCCTGGGTTGAGAATGGGCTCAAGCATAGGATTTTGGCCCTGAAGAAATGAACATAATAAACAATTTAAACTTATAAACTTAATTAATCATAAACTATTTTATGATTAACTTGTATACTCATCAAAAACATAATTAATCATCAAAAATGGCCTCTGGTTGAGATCACAATCGGATTCTCAATGATCAAACCTTACTGTCGGTCACACGACTCGTGTGGCATGTCACACGACTCGTGTGACCTCACACGACTCGTGTGGCTATGTCACACGACTCGTGTGACACCACACGACTCGTGTGGCTTGTCACACGACTCGTGTGAAAAAGCCGAAGCTAACTTTCATTCTTATCTTCTCCCACACGACTCGTGTGGCTAGTTCCTTGAAAAACTCTTAATTTCGAACTTATAACTGCATATCTTGGCCTCGAAATTATCTAAATCTTGGAACTAAAACTGTTACTTTCTTAATAACTGAGAGGGATATTACGTCACTGCATTCAATCAGTTGGTTGCCGATTTGTTGAATTTGGACGTCACATTCAGCGATGAAGATTTGACCCTCATGTTGTTTTCGTCACTTCCGGATGACTTCGAGCACTTGGAGACTACACTGCTCCATGGGAAGGTCAATGTAACTCTTGCAGTGGTCAATTCTGCTCTGTATAGCTACGAGTTGAGGAAGAAGAACAAACAAGAGACGAAGAATGCAGCAGCAGAAGATGAAGCGTTGGTTGCAAGAGGTCGGTCGAAGAGCCAACAGAAGAATGGACGAGGTAGATCACGTTCCAAGACCAAGCTTGAAAAAGACGAGTGTGCTTTCTGCCATGAGAAGGGACGCTGGAAGAAAGACTGTCCTAAGTTGAAGAAGAAAGACAAATCTCCTCAAGATGCATATGTTGCCGAGAGTGGAAGTGAAGACTCAGAATTTTCACTTGTGGTTTCACCTTCATCATCTCATCCAGACGAATGGATTTTGGATTCAGGATGCACCTACCATATGTCTCTCATAAGGGAGTGGTTCTTCAATTTTCAAGAGATAACCGGGATAGGTTCATTTCGTCTGAAGAATCGCGATGGTTCCACCAGAGTTTTGATGGATGTTCGGTACGTGCCGAGTTTGAAGAAAAATCTCATCTCATTAGGAGCCTTGGAATCCAAAGGCTTGGTAGTGAATTTATGGAGTTATGAAGGCTACATCCGGCTCGCTCGTGGTGATGAAAAGACATCAAGAGGAATAACTTGTATTACTATGAAGGTGATACAGTTGTTGGGACAACAACAGTAGCAGATTCCAGCAACAAGGAGTCTGAAGCAGTCAAGCTATGACATATGCGGTTAGGACATGCTGGTGAAAAGTCCTTGCAAACATTGGCAAAACAAGGATTGTTGAAAGATGTCAAAATGTGCAAATTAGACTTTTGTGAGCATTGTGTTCTGGGAAAGCAGAAGAGAGTGAATTTTGGAACGGCTATCCATAATATCGAAAGTGTCTTCGATTATGTTCATTCGGATGCTTGGGGACCTTCTAAGACCCCATCATTCAGCGGAAGACGCTATTTTGTCACTTTCATTGATGACTTTTCCAGACGTGTTTGGGTGTACACTATGAAGACTAAAGATGAAGTGTTTGGTGTCTTCATTACATGGAAGACACAAATTGAGAATTAGACTAGAAGGAAGATCAAGGTCCTACGAACATACAGTGGTGGAGAATATACAAGTTATCCCTTTCAAGAAGTTTGCTGTAAAAATGGCATTGTTAGGCACTTCACCGTCAGACAGACACCACAACAAAATGTGGTGGCAGAGCGCATGAATCGAACATTGGTGGAGAAAGTTCGATGAATGTTGTCCAATTCTGGTTTGGGCAAAGAGTACTGGGCTGAGGCTGTAACATACGCGCAACACCTCATAAATCGATTGTCGTCATCTGCAAAAGATGGTAAAACACCGTTGGAGGTATGGTCGGGGAAACCTGTTGCTGACTATGGATCTTTGCATGTCTTTGGGTGTCTTACGTACTATCATGTGAAGGATTCAAAGTTAGATCAAAGAGCGAAAAAAGGCTTTGTTCATGGGAATCACAATTGACGTGAAGCGATATCGTCTTTTGTGTCTTGAGACGAACAAAACTGTGTTCAACAGGGATGTTACATTTGATGAACAAGGTATGATAAAGACGACGCAAACCCAACAGGTGGAGTTGACACCGAAGCAGGTGGAGATAGATCCGATGACGAGACGACCAACTATGATTGACGAACCAATATCAAAGGATTCGTCGAATGATGAGGTACAGACTCAAGAATCAATAGAGTTACCCATTGCATTGAAAAATCCCAGACGAGAGATTCAACAACCTGCTCGATTGGCGGATATGATGGCTTATGCACTTCCAATTGTTGATGATGACATACTTTTCACTTTGCAAGATGCAATTTGGAGTTTAGAAAATGAGAAGTGGAAATTAAAAAAGGCTATGGAGGAAGAAATGTTGTCTCTCCAGAAGAATCAGACTTGGAAGGTGACGCAACTACCAAAAGGCAAAAAGGCGATAGGATACAAGTGGGTATTTGCAAAGAAAGATGGATTTCCTCATAAGAATGATGTGCGCTACAAGGCAAGATTGGTGGCTAAAGGCTACGCTCAAAAGGAAGGAGTTGATTATAGTGAAGTGTTTTCTCCAGTTGTTAAGCACTCTTCCATTAGAATTTTTTTGGCCTTAGCAGCAGAGTTGGATTTAGAGCTAGCTAAACTTGACATGAAGACGGCGTTCTTACATGGAGATTTAGATGAGGAAATTTACATAACTCAGCCAAAAGGATTCAAGATTCTTGGAAAAGAGAATTGTGTCTGTAAGTTGAACAAATTGTTGTACAGACTGAAGCAATCTCCGAGACAATGGTACAAACGGTTTGATAAGTTTATGATTGGGCATAAGTACACGCGAAGCAGACATGATCATTGTGTGTATTTACGCAAGCTGCAAAATGGATCTTTCATTTACTTACTCTTGTATGTGGATGACATGTTGGTTGCATCAAAGAGCCAAGTGGAGATTGATCATTTGAAGGCTCAGTTGAATCAAGAGTTTGAGATGAAAGACTTAGGGGAAGCTAAGAAAATTCTCGGGATGGAGATAAGTAGGGACAGAAAAAGAGGTAAGCTTTGTTTGACACAGAAGCAATATCTGAAGAGGGTACTACAGCGTTTCGGCATAAAAGATGAGACGAAGCTTGTAAGTACACCACTTGCCCCTCATATTAAGTTAAGTGCCCAATTGTCGCCAAATTGGGATGAAGAACGATAGTACATGGATAGAGTCCCATATGCAAATGCAGTTGGCAGTTTCATGTATGCGATGGTGTGTACAAGACCCGATATTTCACAAGCAGTTGGTGTTGTTATGAGGTATATGCATGACCCTGGTAAAGGTCATTGGCAGGCTGTGAAATGGATTCTACGGTACATCCATAGTACTGTAGACGTTGGATTAGTTTATGAACATGATGAATTTGGTCAGTGTGTAGTTGGATATTGTGATTTCGACTACGCTGGTGATTTGGATAAGCGAAGATCAACGACTGGATATTTGTTCACTTTTGCAAAAGCTCCAGTCAGTTGGAAGTCTACCTTACAGTCAACAGTTACTTTGTCTACAACAGAGGCAGAGTATATGACGGTTACTGAAACTGTGAAGGAGGCTATTTGGCCTCAAAGTTTTCTTGAAGACTGGGGAGTTGGTCAAAAGCACATCTTAGTGATTGAAATCAGTCCTCAAGTGGGAGATTGTTATTCAGCTAACTTTTTTGAAAAAAAAAATAGGTAGCCCCAAAGACAGCAACCTTTCTTTAATAACCCAAAATTGTTGAAAGTTTTGTAGCAGCCTGTGCTGCTGTCCTTTGTTAAAAAATTGGTGCACTTCCCCCTCTATAAATTGAGGGGATCCTGATGAACAAATCACAACAAAAATACATCAACAAAAATACAAGAAGAAAAAGGAGAGAGTGAGCTAAAAGTCTTTGTGTGTATTTTTGAGTTGTGAGTTGTGAGTGAGTTTGAGAGTGTTTTGTAAACACGAGTGTATTTTTCTTCCTAATAAAATATCTGCAGTAGTCCGGAGACGTATGCATTATTAGCTGAACTCCATTATCAATTTGGTGTATCCAGTTTTTTTTAATTTTTATTTTACTTTTATAGATCCGACTTCATGAAAAATTCAGCGTATTTTTTCCAACATATTTGCTATTTGTATATGTTAGATGTGTAATTATGTGCTTTTGAAGGTTGAAACTCGGGTATTATCCTGTTGGGGTCTTTGTGTTTGTTTTAGTTTTGTTTTAGTTTTGTGTTAGGTGATTCGTGTAGTTGTGAGTTGGTCATTCTAGCGTTACTAGCAAACTTTAGGCGATCTCCGGATCTGCCTCTCAGTTTTTTCAGTCTTTGGTTGTACTATTCAGTCTTTGGGCTGTAAGACTGTATTCTCTTACTTTGTGCGATTTTATTAATATAGTACCTCTATGGTTTCGGAAGAAAAAAAAAAAAGTTGAAAACTGAAAATAAACAAAAAAAGAATACTAGCGGTGGACGCTTGGAGATCGCCTGGTTCAACGGTTTTTCTGCAAGGAGATATATTAATTATTAAATACTACACAGTGAGTGCGGGAGCGATGATAAATTCGTAGAAATGGCTTTGGAACGAACAGTTTTCCTGCAACGCCCGCTTGGTTCAGCCCCGTCATTCCAAACACCATCGTACCGTTTGAGCGATGCCTCCTCCTTGAAATTCGTCTCATGTTGCTCGGTTGCATCGTCAGCTACTGTGATTAACGGGAATGTGGGTAAGAAGCACGAGAGGAATGAAGTTCCACACTCTTGATCTTCTCATGGTATGTTTCCTTATCTTTGTAATTACAATCCATCAATTGTCGACTGTATTTTTCTTTTATCGTGTGTGGCAAGTTGCTGGATTAACTCGGTCTATTTCTGTGTGCAGGATTGCCAATTGTCGGTGAAACAAGTGAATCTGCGGCAGTATATTGCGGAAATTCCACAGGTGTGCCGCTCATCTGCGTGCCTAAGCCCTTAGAGTTGTATTTAGCTGTTGCAATGGGCTTATCTGTTCATTCTTTGCTGTGCTTTTGCAGATTTAAAGTGTTGATCCATGAGTTGTCAGCCGTTTAAGGTCTTCTATTATCAATTGGGTCATTACTTGATTACTTGGGCTCGAATGCAGTCAGAAAACCTGAAAAAGGGTATCCAAGTACCGTTATGCCAATGCAGGAGGGAGGATAACTTCTGTATAATGTTTATGGGCCTTCAATGTACGCCTATTCTTGATTTTACATCTGCAATGCCCATAATATCGACTTATCCTATTTCCATGGAAAACATTATCACATTGATATATTTATGTACTCTTGCCGATGTCTTCATATACTTTTTTTGATATAGTTAAGTGGGTTTGTATTATATGTGTTGCTAAATATAGCCTTGTGATGTTGCAGCTTGCAAATTTAGAAGTTTTGGTTTCAACGGCCAAAAAACATCGTGAGGAAACAGGTATCCAGAGATTTAGACCTTGGAATTGTTGGTTTGGACACTGTAAACGAATATGGGCAGGTATAAGTTTAGGGTCTTCGAATGGCCTACTCTAATATGTGGCGTAATTGGCATGACAGGTTTCTTGTTTTCTTCCATATTATGGAAAGAGTTTTAGATATTCGTGCTTGACTTAACCAAACAAAAAAGTTCCATTCATATGTCATACCCTACTACTAAACTCATGAATGTGAAGTTTCAGTCCGATGTTCAGAAGGTGATGTTTATGCTGTATGTCGTTGGCCAATTTTATTATATTTCTTTTTTGTTATCTGTTTGTAAGTATACGTAGTTGTTCCTAACATAGTCTATTATTACTAGTGCACCCTTCATGCTCACCCAGCATGCTGACTTGACATTTACGTTTCTTCTATTAATTTCCCCCTCAAAACTCGATGCTCTTTAGTCAGACAATTCTTGTAGGGTGATGAAGATCTCATTCTTGTTCATGAAGCTCTTGACTATGGGGACTATCGTTTATCACTTGCAGTAAGTTATACATTTAGAACTCTAGAAAATTGAGAACCCTTCTCGTACACATGCTTTTCTCACTTGTATTGTTGGGATTATAATTTTATTTGTTGTATCAGATCCCCAAGTATGGCATATTTGAGAACATAAACTCTTTGAAAGAGCTGGCTCAGATGCCACAGTGGACATCTGAGAAACCTCTAAGAGTTGCCACCGGATTTACATATGTAAGATTATCTTGTCCTTTTTTTTTTCTTCTGTATTTATATTTTATTGCATCGAAAATTTGCAGTTGGGTACTAAGTTTATGAAGGAAAATTGATTTGAACATGTCACCTTTTCGACTGCTGATGGAGCTCTGGAAGCTACTCCCGCTGTAAGTATTGGATTATTTTTATACATAGTACATGTTCCTTATAGATAATTGTTAGATGTATGGTGTTTGGTTCATTTTAGACGTCATAGATTACTTCTAGCACTTGCCTTTTATCTTCAGTTCTTTTACATTGAATTGTTTACTTGTACAGGTGAAGAAGACATAATATTATTTGGTAAATAATTTAATTTGCAATCAGAATGACTGTGGCTTGACCATCCATTGTGTGAAGAGTAGGCTGCATAACACTACTGAAATCCAGGAGAAGATCACTAATGCAAAGCTTATAAATATGACTTTCTGATGTATATTTAATACCTATATTAGAATGTACAAATAAGAGGCTGAAATATGCAATTTAAGGTAAAGGTGAAACATTATAATAATGTTGGATGTTAACGGGAAATTCTGCCATCTTACATCCTAGGAAAACTATGTTGGCCCTATTTAGTTATTTGGACTCCAGAAACTTCTAGTTGTTATATGGGGTTAATTTCAATACCATGCCAATATGGAAGATTGAAGTAAGAAATATATGCAAATTGGATTTAGCGTAAGTATCATTTGTGAGCATAAAACTTTTCCTAAACTGGGAAACTGAAAATATTTTTTTCCACAATTCTACTGTTCATCACACATTTAAGGTCTCCTTTTAGCCTAGCAATTGTTGCTGGCAGTGCTTGCATGATAAAGCAATCAACTAAATCCTGTCCTGGTGTATCCTTTTACAAATAAGTCGGTGATATCAGATCAGAAGCCAAAAATTGTGATATATGGGATGCAATTTAAATGGTTAAGAAAGATATTTATGTAGGACTTTGGCAATTCTCAGTTGGTATAGGTAGGTGTCTGAGGAAGAACCTGGAGATGCCTTTTACTTGCTGTGCTATTTTAGTTCGTCAGTAATTTATTTGGACAAACACCACAGTAATCACTTTTCCTGACATTTGCACATTTCTGCTAACATATACGTGTAAATTGGCTGTAGAATCAATAAACCACTGTTTGCCTGAATATAGTCTGATAGTGCTGACTCCATCTTGGATGTTATCTTTACATACTGTTATTGAAGTTTGCTAATTGAGTGTGTTTCTACTTGAATGCTAGGTTTCGTGGTTTTCTTAACTGTAACATTACTGCAACTTTTATTATAACTTACTAGTTTTTATCGTGTGTGCTGTCATGTGATCTGTACACCCACAGATGACCCTTATTACAAATATTTGTAACCTAAAAACCTCTGTTTCCACTAATCCTCTTTTACCTCTAGATGGGGATAGCTGATGCTATTGTGGACCTTGTGAGTAGTGGAACAACATTGAGAGAAAACAACTTGAAAGAGATTGAAGGCGGAGTTATCTTGGAAAGTCAGGTAAATGCTGCATTTCTGTTATTCAGTTCTAATATTATCTAAGACATAAAAAATGTAAATGAGATCTCATCTGAAGCTATCTTTTTGAAAAATAAGATCTCCTTTGAAAAATGGTTTTGATTATTCTGTGTCTTCTGATCTCATTGCATTGTTCATTTCAGGCTGTTCTTGTTGCTGGTCAGTTCATGGTGCAGACCACTAATTATTTGGATAATTACAAAAGGTACCCCCCAAAGTTTAACATAACCAGAAAAAGCTCCAATTATCTTTACAAAATCACAAATACCAATTTAAAGCGATACAAACATCCACTTGAGGTATTGTATTTACCCTGCGAATGCCCTGTCTTGAAGGCTGTGAAGATAAACAAATGCATGGTGGTATCTGTAATTTTAAAAGGTAAAACTGCTTTTTATGATTAGGACAATTTCATGGTAGCTTATATAGTTTGACTGTTGTTTTCTAGTAAGTTATGTCTTCCACTGTTTTTTTATTTTCAGGTAACAGCTAACATGAGGGGAAGTAGTGCAGATGAAGTGGCTGAACGTGTGCTTAGCCAACCGTCTCTATCTGGTTTTCAGGTCTTCAACTTGTCTTCCTTTGTGCATATTTCTAATCTCTGGATTGTGTAAAATCGTGATTTAACAATTTTCGAACACGAGTCAAGGAACTAAAGATAGTATTGGATTAAGAGGAGAGTATGAATACATGTGTACATACAGGAGTGGCAGAGTCCTAAAGAGTATCATTGTAGAACTTAGAAACTATTATTTTTCCTTTATATTGAATAACTATAGATTGGTGTGGTGGTGGTGCATTTTTGTGAACCCTGAACGATATGACCTTTCACATATATCTCACCTATGCCCAGGTCTCGTTTGTTTCGTGTGATAGGATTAGACTAAATTAATACGGGATTGGTAGATTGTATTGTGCATACTAAATTGTATTTATATCTGTTATATGTGATTGATAGTTTGGATAGGATGTGTTTGTTTATTTTGATAATAATGAATGGCATAAGAACATCATTGACAGTTTTGTCTTCATTAAAAAATATGTGGTATGACTGCTAGTCTCCTCTTCTTTTCTACGCAACACATATTTTGTCAATCTTTTAATTTTAATTCCTTTTAATTATAAGACGGGAGAAACAGTAAAATCAAAAAGACTAACAAAATTTACCAAAACGGCAGAAGGTAATTCTCCTTTTTCAATTTCTTATTTGTTCCTCCTTTTAATCAAGCACATTTTTCAGTTTCCTATTTGTTCCTCCTTTAATTCAAGCAACTCCATTAATCAATAGCAGGTAACTCCATTTGATTGTTTCATCATCGAATAAAAAAAAAAAAANAAATCAACTCGTATCAACCAATCATAAAGGGTCTTAATAATTATATAAAAATAAATATTTGGACGGTGTGTTTGCCTATAAGCCAAGCAAACGGTACCAAGTGAAATGCTTGTCCAGACGTCGTTGCCTAACATACCAAGTTGTTCGGGTTTTCCCATTAAATTTGCTGGTGTCGACTATCCAAGACGCATTAGACACTAAATCATAGCAATGCAGTTGTCCTCCACCACCCTCGAAATCCAACACCAAAATATTACCCTGAATGCTCACAACTTTTGTGATACGCGTTACTCGAGGGATGTGAGCGCTCCATGCTTGCGAGGGGCTCCTATTCTTTTCCCAATCAAAATTCACCGCATACTTTCTTTCCCATAACCAATTCGTGTAGTCCACAAGAACCCAAACGTCCACTACAGTCTCCGCGTAACGCACATAACAACAACACAAGTCCTTACCTCCTTTGGCCACCATTTTAGGCTCACCAACGGTTGGAGGAGAATCTTTCAAGCATAGCTCCTCAGTATTTGTGTCGAAAACCATAAAGCTAGACCAATGCCGCCAAATCATAGCTTTTTTCGTCACCACCAATTGCGCGAAGCTATGGGGGGGAGGAGAAATTTTGGGAGTCAGAATTGTCCTCCACTTGTGGGCCCCGAATTCGTAAATGTGGTACTCGTAACTATACTCTCCTATCTGCGTCACATGGAGAAGCCGGTATTCTTTTGCCAGAGGATGGTAGAAGAAGCCACAACACCTGCTGCCACCCCATTCAGGCAGTTTGCGTGTTGCAAACGCTATTCTGTTTGATAGAGGGTTAAAAAGAACGTGTTTTTTGGAATAAAGTATCAGGATTAACCCGTTGCAGCTATTACCAATTTCCATTGAATCTTCAATATCAACCTTGCCTGCAATGGGTTCATAAATATGCTTGCCTCTTAGACCACTCAACGTGCGGATTCTTCTAGATTTTACGTTGATAGTGCAAAACTTGTTTTCCTCACTGGAGAGGGCAACTTCATACCCAAAAACCAATTCAGACGAATATTCAAACCTTATTGCGCTCTTCAAAAGGTTATACCACTCTAGAAACAACATACTTGCACCCTGATTGATGCCAAAACAAATTAAACATAAAGACTATCAAATTGAGGTGAAGAAGCTTGCCAATTACTACATATATATTTAAAGAACAAATTGATCCACCAAAAACAGCATAATAAATACTTATAAAGAATCTAAGTATTTCCAACTATTTATTTATCTATATATTATTTCATCAAAACAATTAAGTTTGGTAAAAAAGGAACAAACCCAAAGAAAGAGGAAGATAAGGTGGGAAGAAAAAAGAGGAAGAAAAGAGATAAATTTCTTTCCCCTCCAAACTAGCAGAAACTTAAAAATCCAAACCACAAAGCAATTGTCCCAAAAGCAGAAGAAAAACATAGACAAAATAAAACTAAAAAGCATCAAAAGCTAACAGCCCACAAGCTTAACAAAACTAGACAAAATAAATAAAAACCAGTAAAAACAAGCAGCACCGGCCAATATCACACCATCACATCATATAAGCAAAATATAAAAGGAAAAACTCGAGACAAATTAGACAAAATAGACGTACCTCAAGTGATGAACAAAGCGTGTTGTGAAAACACATGTCGTCCATGGAATTCCACCCAAATCCAACCCCTATTTAAGCTTGGGTTATCCAAAATTGAGATGAAAAATTGCACAGCCCAAATCCCAAAAGTATTGAAGTTAAGTTATGTAAAAAAATTTAAGGGGAAATTCTATTGTAGGACTTGACTTTTTGTTATTATGTCGTAATAAGGCCTGAATTTTTAACTTTTTCATTTGAAGGTTTTAATTTTAAGTTATTCTCGTTATAAGGCATACTTTTACATTCTACTTTTCAATTTAACACTCCAAATCACTTTGTATTTTGATATAAGTATGTAAAAAACAATAATTTTTAAGTACTTATAATGAAAAATATTAAATATCTTTAATAAAATTATCTAATAAGATAATTATTTCATAATTTATATTTACGCAAAATCTTAATGGATTTATTTTAAAAGTTAAAAAATAAATTTTAACTTAATTTTAATCTAAATATGTGACAACATTAAAATATAAAATATTTAGAAAAATAATTTATTTATTTTTAAATAAACTTATAGAAAATATTGTTTGTGAATAAAATTTATATTTTTGAAAAAGTTAAGAATATATAAAATTAATTTCCGAAAATTTCTATTGTAGGTAATTATTCACAAATAATATTTTCTATAAGTTTATTTAAGAAAATAAAACTATTTTTCTAAATAGTTTATATTTTAATGTTATCACGTATTTAGATTAAAATTAAGTTAATTTTTTTTTAACTTTTAAAATAAATTTTATTAAGTATTTGCATAAATGTAAATTATGAAATAATTATCTTATTAAACAATTTTATTAAATATATTTAATAATTTTCATTATAAGTACTTAAAAAATATTTTTTTTAAAAAAAAATATTGTTGTTTACATAATTATATCAAAATACAAAGTGATTTTGAGTTTTAAATTGAAAAGTAAAATGTAAAAGTAGACTTTATATTGAGAATAACTTAAAATTGAAATCTTTAAATGAAAAATTTAAAAATTTAGGTCTTATTGTGACACAATAACAAAAGTCAAGCTCTACAATAGAATTTTCTCAAAAAATATAATAATGAAGTTGTTAGGTTAAAAATATTCTCTCTCTAGGGGAGCGACTTCTCTCGTCGGAGAGCAATTTCTTTCATCGGAAAGCCCTTTCCTCTCGTCGGAGAGGTCTCACACCTTCTCTATATATCAACCCTATTCTACTCTCTCATATCGCTTTCTCATATCGCCGAGATGGATGGAATCAGTTCGAAATCAGCCACAGAGGAAGTGGAGCAGCGACTTAGGGTTTTTTCCCTCTCGCAAAAGGAAAACAAAATCATAGATCTCAAGGTAGATGATGTCAAGACGGGGGTTGAAGAATGCCACCACAGCCTATTTGGTCGAATAGTTGGTGATAAACGAGCAAGCCTGGCCGGCATTAAGAAGGCTATGAACCAAATTTGGCGACTCAAACATTCAATCGAGGTGAGAGAGCTTGGTCCCAACTTTTTTCAATTCATCTTCTCAAACCTCGAAGATCTAAAAAAGGTTGAGGGAGGAACAAACTGGATATTCGAAAACCAGTTTCTCATATTGCACCGATGGGAACCTGGAATGAATAGAGACGCCAAATGCTTTTCAGAACTTAGGCTTTGGGTTCAAGTCCACAATGTTCCTCTCAACTGGCTTACTGCAGAAGTTGGACTCAGAATAGGGGAAGTTTTCAATGAGGTTTCCAATGTGATCGTGAGCAACTTACCGTTTCAAGGGGGACGACTAATCAAATTATTGGTAACAGTAGACATCAAAGAACCGCTGCCCAGATGCACATCAATCAGGTTTGGTTCCCAAGTAGTCACAGTGTCATTTAAGTATGAGCGCTTAGTTAACTTATGCTTCTACTGTGGGATGATTGGCCACATCGAGAAAGCCTGCACTATCAGAATGGAGGACATAAAACACAAAAGGCTCCAGGAGGGGCAATTTGGAGATTGGATGAGAGCTGCTGATGGGCTGCAGAGTCAAAACTGGAACCATGCTAATTCTTCTTCAGGTCAATCTCAAGATCCTGCTTCTTCACCTAGTAACAATAACACCAATGTCTATTCACCAGGAGATAAAGAGCCTATCACCAATCAAGAAGCAGCTAAAAGTTCTTCTAATAGCCAGATTGGGCTTAAAAACACTGACACAGAACACAAAGAGTCACTCAATGCTGACCAAGTCATGCAAGCCTCTGAAAAGGAACTGATCCTCTACAGTCCCCCCTCTGACCAATTACCAACAACCTTACCTCATATTAAACCAATCCCACTGGAGATCATGGCCATTGATGAAGATGATCAATCAGACACAAAGATGCCAGTACTAGCAAGGAAAGGAAGAAAGACTGTCAGCAAGGGTACCACAACTTGGAAAAGAACACAACAAAATGAGGGCAGGCTTCAGAGGAAATCAACAGGGAACTCACTGGATCTCTCAATGGTTATGTCTAAAAGACCTAGAGAGCTGGCTATTCTAACAGAGGCATCACCTAAGAATGACATTCCAGTGGAGCAGCAGGATAAGAAAATTAAGCTGTCTGTATCAAAGGTGGAGAGGGCTTGCCTTAAGAAGCCCTCAGATTCTCCATGAATGCGCTGGTGTGGAACTGTAGAGGTCTGGGTGGGCCCTCTACAGTTCCCCAGATTAAGGAATCCATAAGGATCCACCACCCCTCTTTCCTTTTTCTTTCTGAAACCAAAAAAAAATAAATTATTTTCATCTTCTGTTTGTACTAAACTGGGTTTTGCAGATAGGAACTATATAGTGGAGCCTAGAGGCACAGGAGGAGGGCTTATTTTACTGTGGGATGCAGAAGTTGAAGTGATTCACATTTACAGTCAAAGCTTCTTCATAGCTGTGCATTTTAAGGAGAAATTAGGAGGTTCATCTTGCTGGGCCATCTTTGTATATATCAGCCCAACTAAGTCTGAAAGACTCCTTCAATGGGAGCAACTCTTACATGAAAAGGAAAATTGGGGACCTTTATGGTACATGGCTGGAGACTGGAATTCATTGTGCAGACCAGAAGACAAGAAAGGGGGTCAACCAGTTTCTGATAGAAGTTGCTGGGAATTCAATCACTTCCTGAGTCAAATGGGTGTGCAGGAGATCCCCTTACAGGGGCTGACTTATACCTGGACTAATAACAGAGCAGGCCAAGAGTATGTGGAAGAAACTCTAGATCGAATGTTTGTCTCACTGGAATGGATAACCAAATTCCCACATTCCAAAGTCATTAGCTGGCACAGAAGTTCATCTGATCACACAATGTTAGTCATTTCTACCTCAGCTAAGGCCACAAAGTACAAAAAGAGATTTCAGTTTGATAAAAGATGGGCCCATAAAGAAGGAGTAGACTCTGTGGTTAAAGAAGCATGGACTACACCTACTCTTGGCACACCTATGTTCATCATCAAAGAAAAAATTAAAAGAACCAGACAAGCACTGCTATCATGGAGCAAATACTTCAGAGCAGCACAGTCCTCAAAAATTAACTCACTCACCTTGCAGCTAGAAGATTTGAGGAAAGAGGGTGGAGAAAGGAATTGGGAAATATGGGACAGACTTCAAAGAGAGTTAGATGAAGCCAATGTACAAGAGGAAATCTATTGGCAGCAAAAAGCTCGGGCTCTATGGTTCAAAGAGGGAGACCAAAACTCCAAATTCTTTCATGCATATGTCTCCCAGAGGAGGAAAATGAACTCTATTGAAAGGCTGATAACTGAAGGACAAGTGTGTGACAACCCCCAAGAGATTAAGAGGCACATCACAGACTTCTATTCCCAGCTGTATACTTCAAAAGGTTCCAGAGGTGGCCATGAATTTCTACCTTTAATCCATAAAACAGTCACAGAGGATATGAATGCCATTCTGACAGCCCCTGTAGATGAAGATGAGATTAAAGGTGCTGTTTTCAGTATCCACCCTGATAAGGCACCAGGTGAAGATGGGATGACAGGCCTATTCTATCAGCACTTCTGGCCAATTGTTGGTAAGGATATTATTTTTGCTGTTCAAAGTTTCTTTGAATCCTGTCAACTATTGAAATACTGGAAACACACCTTAATCACTCTGATTCCTAAGTGTTTTAATCCAACTTCTATCACTCAGTTCAGACCTATAAGCCTGTGTGCTGTCTTTTATAAAGTAATTTCTAAAATTCTGACACAGAGACTGAGAATATGTCTCAATGAATGCATTTCAGAAAACCAAGCAGCCTTCCTCCCTGGAAGGCAGTTGCTTGACAATGTAATTCTGGGACATGAAGTATTTCACTTCTTAAACAGACACAGGTCAGGCAAAAATTTCTTTATGGCTCTTAAATTGGACATGATGAAAGCTTTTGATAGCCTAGAGTGGAAATCAGTTCAATTAACCATGTTAAGAATGGGGTTCAGTCAACTTTTTGTTAAGTGGGT